TGAGAGCTATAGTTCACAACCCCAGGACCAAAATTATCTTCCATATTTTGTCCGTCAATAAAACCAGTACAATGAGTTTAACTTTTCAAGTTGCAGATATCACTGTTGATTCCAGCTAAGCGGCAAAAACAGGGGTCACGGTAACGGTTTATCGAATTAAATTTGGCATTGACTCGACCTATAAGCGCTGGGAGGACCACTTAGGATATGAACAATGGTAAGTGCCTTAATACTGTCTTTTGAAGATATCCCACAAACGCCAGGCCACTGTTACATGACAATAACTGCCATTTCACTTGAGCACAAGTAATTCAGAACATTGTAAAAATTGATGGAGGGATAATTCGTCGAGGGTCTTATGCAGTGCAGGCTAGTCGGCTAGTCAGTTCGTCAGTCAGATAGGTCACATCTATTTACGGCGGCATGTCATTCCTGGCGTTCTCTGCCCGAAGAAGACCGCAGCTGAGGGTGTAAGTCACATGAACTCTGTGTAGGTGAGGTACGGAAGTATGCATTGGCAAAGATGTGATCTTAGAACTGCATATAGTCGACACTCATAGACATGTAAACAAGTGTTTACCCTCTAAAACCCTCTTTGTGGTTCGCACATTTCGTATCCTTGCCGCCTGGCTTACTACGAAACGTCACGTTTTGGTGACAAACCGAATGTCAGTCTATGAGCTTAAAACACCAAGCCAGCCTTTTTCCGTTGCCGGTCGATCACTAAGTGAACAGCACCTGAATGGAGCTACCACAACGGAAACAGTGGTGCGCGGAAACCCCGCTAGCTGTCGATAGACTGTGCATCGTGTGTTAATGTATGTACTTGTGAAATCTAGTTAAGTACGGATGATGACTGACAGTTGCACCCAAGAGAGGAGGAACAAAAGACAGGAATCAACTTGACATGAATTGAAAGATAAGAGAAATGTCTGCCAGGGGATAGGCTCAGCTGTTCAATGGTCAGGCACTCATTCGAGATGGAAGGTCATAAAATATTCAGTCGGATACTGTTTCTGCATACCTTCTTCATTTTACTCGAAAGTATGGTTTTTTGTCACCATGTTTTCCTGCATTCTGCAGCTTACCGTCCGGCGTGCTCTCCCACCCGTAAACCCCCCCTCCCCCTTCCTTACCACCATTACCGTATGACACGATTCACAGTCTACCGACAGGTATTTGGGGTCCTTCCCCCTATGGTTGCCACCACAACTAGCAAAGGGGTCGGATTTTGTCTCGAGCCGCATGGCTATTAGTCTTAGGACAGAGAATATGTTTGTGGCGTTTTTACGCAGACCAGAAATCCACTATGTGCATCTAAAAGCCAAGACTGACTTCAAGGATTTTGCAATATCTGTCATGATAGTCCAAATGCAATTGGCCTTAAAATTGAGAAGCGATTTTAGACGACATTTTGAAGAACCGAGTTCTTCTTGTTAGTGATAGAAATGGGAGTCCTTCACTCCGCGGTATCGCTGGTGTGGACGACGTTCTGTACAGGATTTGTCGATTTGGATGAGTGATCTGATTGGCGGATCCAAGGATGAGTGACAAGTCCGTTTCGTGCCCTGAACGTCAGTAGTCAGTATAATCGTGTTGGGTTATGTTCGATGTTTGTGTTATTGATTCATTGTACTCAAGATTTGTGTGTCATTCTCTGCTCTCTGACCTCTTCTATACGGTGTACTTCGTAGATTGCAGCTCCAGTTCTTAAGGTAGTGCGTCACGTCCGCCGATTATGGACGAGGTCGTCCTAGGTCATGGGATTGATTTGCTGGTGTTTGATGGAGTCTTCACCGTGTCATTTTTTTACCATGTTTTTGTCTGCCTTGTCTGCGGCCAGTCGCAGCGACGTTGTCAAAGTAGTCGTTTGGGCAGACGCTTGCCATCCATCTGGGTGACTTGATCGCTCTAACGCAATTGTAACTGCCCCAACCTGGCATGGACACTGAGGATGCCAATTCTTTCCAAGACATCCTTCTCATGGATCTTGTCTTGCCACGTTGACATAAGTATTCTTCGGGGACAGCTGAGGTAAAAATGGACAAAGCTCCCTTGTTAAAATGTGTACTTTCCCATACATAAGCGTTGTCATTTTCGTATTCGGGGGAAGGTCACGATGATTCCAACTGGAATGCTACAGCCGTGCCAAGGCTTAACTGACTTCGGAGATCAGGCTTTAAATTTATTCTGATCTTGATATTTCTCTAAAATTGCACCACCCAGGCGGTGAATTTGCCCACATATGCGGGCACTTTCCATTCACGCTGACCCATGGTGTGTTATACTTGTTGGTGGTGCTGGTTGGCGGATAGCTACTGTCTCCTCCGAGTTTGTGGTGAGTCTGAAATCTGTTCAGCTGGAAGCATAGAGCTCCATCCTTTACTGCATGATCGCCTACATCGTGCTGTTAAGCGCAAAAGTATCCGCAAACAGAAAATGATGAACACTGTTCATGGGGACTGGCGTGGGTGTCTACATGTGTCGAATGTTGAACAGCTGTCCAGCAGTTCGGTAGGCCACGTTTATTACTAGCTGCTGATCACAGTAGGCGTTCATAAATGTAATGGAAGACACGAAACCGAAGAGGATAGCAACGAGTATTCAACCCTGCTTCATTCCACTTGGCACCGCGAATGCTTTTGCGGCGGTCCCATCGAACGCGACGCGAGCTCTTATTCCGTCGTGAGTTTTTTGTACCATCTGTCTTTGACATCCGAAAGTAGGCATAATTTTTCGCAGTCCTTGATGGTTGACTGCAGGAGATGACGCATAAAACGACCACCAACCATCTAGCGACCTCAAATGGACAGTATTGATCTCCCATCTCCAAGCCATTAACAAACATGGCATCATGCAGGAATTTTAAATAAGATGGGTATCCATATACCTTGTGACGGTGTAATACTATATATTCAGAAAAGCGCAGCTCCAAAGAGTCGGTTTCATTACATCTTAAGGGTAATAAACTCAGGAAAGAGCTATTGCGGTTGTGCCGTGTGCTGCATTGTCGAACCTTCCTGCCCTTTTAAAATTCAGGATTCTGACTCATAAAAGTTCCCGTTGAACCGAATGCGAACTCTAAGAGCGACGTTTGGCATTCTTTTCAGTGATAGTACACAAACTACGGGAAATTGACAGATGTTAGACGGAGATCCCATTGGGGGGTCGAAATAAACTACTACGGCAGAGGGTCAACCATCTAGGGAGATTTCTCTATCAAACACAACAAGGCGTGCAGCAAACAAAACAGTTGTCTCCACGTATCTTGCTGTGGCGTTTTGGGGTAGGATTACTGCCATTCACCCCCGCTGTAGGTTCTCGAAAGCGACATTTATCCCCCTTTTACAAACGATCAAATAGTTAGACCCACCCTCCCTTACAGTTGGTCCAATAGCCTTTCTATCGGTCATCTTATGGAGTGCAACATGCAGTTGTGATTGGCCGACTTAGTGATAGCTTATTTCTTCGATCTTTTTACTTTATTGTAATGCCACCTACCTGTGAAAGAACATATCTCCATCACCTCAAACGCAGGTAAGAAACATGTTCTTGGAAGTATTTTCCGTTGCACTCATTTACTTATCAGGGTGTTCTATCTTCTGTGTTTGAATAGGTGGGATGTACGGGGTGCCGTGAGCGAAGATCCACGCTGACGTTGTACGTCCACACCATGTTTTGGCGAGCTAAGGCGATGGTTATTGCGATCCCACGCCAAGTACAAGTCGAGATAAGCCAAGCAAAACCATCACGCTAGGACGGACTTAACTTTCAGTGCCGTCCAGGGAAAAACAAGGACAGTAAATGAAATGTTAGTTAATTATACCGAAGCTTACTACAGCTGAGTGCACCGCGTAGTAGTTAATAAACACCAATTTAAAAAAAACGAATAAATGCGAACTTAGGAGACGACTAATAATTGGAATAGTTATAAGAATTTGCACATAAATAAAAAAAATATGACAAAGGACTACCACGGTACCCCTGCCTAGACAGAAGGCAGGCGCAAAAGCGACGCCGAAGGAAAGTACAGTGTCAGAACACTGAAGTGAGGATGACTGGCAAAGTGGGCTCGGCAGCCGCTGAACTTCGGAAGCAGGATGCGTGAGCAAGGTAGCGTCGGCAAGGTAGGCCTTGAGTCTCTCAAAAGCGGTCAGTGCTTCACCATAAAGCATTTAGGTGGGCGGCAACATGGGATCAGCACAGTCCGGAATGGACCAGCTGGGAAAATTGACCACGCAGAGGAAACGTTGCAAATGACGATTGGAGGTTGGTGGAGGAAAATCATTAATAGCTTCAACCTTGAAGGCAGAGGACACAAGCCTTCAGAGTCGAAATGATGGACAAAAAATCTCATCATAGGCACTCCAATAACGTATTTGGAAGGGTTGATGATGACGCAGTACTTGTGCAGGCGGTCAAACACCAAGGTGAGTCGCTCCTTGTCTTCTTCAGCACTCTGACTAGCCACCTAGAGTTCATCGATGTACACGCAAACAAACGGCAGGCCACCCAATACATGGTCAATGAAGCTCTGAAACGTCTGTGTGGCAGCGAGAAGGCTGAAAGGCATATGGATGAATTCGAAGAGGCCAGAGGGAGAAGCAGTGCTGGTATTCATGATATTCTTAGGGGCCACAAGGTTCTGATGAAAAGTGCACACCAGGTCTACTTTCGAGAAAACCGTTTTGCTGAAAAGGACTTCAGCAAAATCCTGAAGATGAGGCACAGGGTACCGATCGGGAATTGTAGCGTTTTTGAGGGCAGTGTAGGCGTCACAGGGTCTCCAGCCGCCTGATGTCGCCTTGGGCACCACATGTGCAGAGGGGACATTCAGGGGCTTCGGGCGGTCGGAAAATGTCCAATTGCTGCATGTGCTCAAACTCTGCCTTCGTGGCCTGTAGGAGGACAGGCACCAGTCGTCTAGGCCGAGCGAACACAGGATGACCTGAGGTGCGGATTTGGTGCATAACATCATGTTTGACTTCGCCACTGAGAAACTATGGGTTGGTAATATTCGGATGTTGAAGGAGGTGCTCCCGATGGGGACAAGCAATAGCTATATCCATAACAGATAAGTTACTGAAGGTTGTAAAGGGATTTAATTCACGAATAGAGGGACCAGTAGTGTGGTCTAGGAGTCGGGAACGTCTACAGTCTGCAAGGAGATCAAACTCGGCTATAAGATCCGAGCCAAGGATTGCATGATGGATATCACCAATCACAAAGATCCAGGGGAACGACCGACTAAGGCCAATGTCCAGGGTAAAGAACATGCTATCAAATGCGGGAAGGGGGGAACAGTTGGCAGCTTGAAGGTGGAGACCACAACGTGGGCAGCGGTATTTGGCTGGAGTGCGAATGACAACACTGATCTGAGCTCCGGTGTCCATAAGGAAACGTCTGCGTGTCACACTGTCGTAGACAGAAGATGCGACTAAAACCAAAAGTGCCAGAGAAGACGGTTGCCTCTGTTCGCTGGCTGAATGGTTACCCTGATTGGAATTGAGCATGCGGGGGAGGAATATCAAAGGGCATTTTCCCGAAGTTTGTATAGTGCCAACAGACACCAGCGGTCCGAGGTCGTAAACGGGAAAAGAGAGGAGTTGAATGACCAACGAGACGTGAGGCGCGCAAACCGGAGTTTGAGGGATGCCACCTCGTCCGCCGGGACCGCCATCTGCGTCACAATCTGCTAGTTTGTCGTCGGTAATGAGAAAATAGAGAGTTGGGCGACCGAAAGGCGGCTGGAACCGCTGCACCTCCAACAACCTGTCTGCCATTTCGGCTACCTATGAGACAGATCTTCTGTGCCGGATGTCAGAATCGTTTGAATCTCGGCAGGCAGACGCTCCAGGAACATTTCCTTGAAAGGTTCATTGCAGCGTATCCTGCCCGGGCCGTCAGGACATCATGTCACAAACGCGTGACAAGCGAACGATCAAGGTCATGACCCCTGTTCACACCATCTTTGTGCTGTTTGGCCACCTATCAGCCTATGACAGTCCCCTTTGCCATATGCCCGGCCGTTTCCACAAGCCTCCTCACTTGTGCTGTCTCTCGTACTCAGTACCCGTCCTATTTCCAATTAACCTTATGTTTTGCATACATAACATTTATCATCGAGGCGTAGCTCACCACGAAGTCCTTGCATCCTTCAAAGAAGTTCGGTGGGTTTTCGGCCACCCAAACACCTTGCGAATTAACTGGTGATAGCTCTGGCGATCAGACACAGCATGAAGCCAAAGGAGTGCTGCTTTAACCTGCATGTAGAGTTGGTCGGCCCGGGCACTCCAGATCAATAATTGTACCCGACAGTGAAGTTGCAACGGCAAAGCCTGAACAGGCCTGGGGAATTTGGTAACTCCCTTGGTAATGTTCACAGAGGAAAAACTTAACTCAATGCGAAGGACGTAGTGTTCAGGGGCGTTCGTCCAGAAGCCTGGTATAGGCAGTGTTACTGCACTACTAGAATCGTCTCCACTAACAGAATAGCCAGTCACGGCCGTGGCAACGGCAGAAACTTAATGCAAGTGCACGCGAGGGCAGAACCAATACGGCAGTGAACAACGATCGGCTGGCTATCGCGAACGAGTGAAAACGCATGAAAAAGGCAGCGCGCATCCTCCTTCAGAGTTACCACTTTAGCGGGTTAAAACGATCGATAATGCGATCCCACGCTAAAAGTCGAAATAACCCAACCAAACTGTCACGCTAGAACGCCCAGTGAAGAACAATGGCAGTGGGTGAAAAGTCAGTTAATGATACCGAGACGCAAGCCAGTTGGAATGTACCGCGTAACAGTTAATAAATACCAACTTAAGCAAGCACGAACAAATGCAAGTTTAGGAAGTGACTGATAAATGGAATAGCTATAAAAAGTTGCACATAAAATAAAATATAGCGAGGGGCTACCACGTGTTCATCGATGCGATGGCCGGGTTGTATGGACAGCCGTGGGCGGGAAAACATGTTACAGTCGTACGGTACCCCCAGGTTCCTCGATGCGTTTGGAGGAACATTGTATAACCCTCCATTGGCAAGTATACCCCGCCGCACATAAGCCATCGCAATTACCATGCATGGAGATGCAGCATTGGTGACGCCAACGGGCCTGTTAGTAAAGGCACAACTATGGTGGTAAGAACTACTTATAAGCAGAACACTGGCAGTCATATCGGACTCAGAGATGGTCCTGAGGGTTGCTTCGATATCCAGCTCACGTCTGTGGCCCCACAGCCGCGGTCAGCGCGGCGTTCACACCCCGATGGTCATCTTCGACCGGTGTGAACAGCAAGAGGTGGTTACCGGCATGTGTGTGGCCATAGAGACGGTGGGCCTACAACTAACCCCCAAAATTTCACCCTGTCCCAAACCAAATGATCCTATGCAGAGAGCGACATACAGTCCCATAGGCGGAACACGATAACTCCGGCCGTCTTCCTGCCAAGCCAAATTCGATACCTATAATGGAATTTGGCATCCGTCTGGGATGACTTAATAGCCCTAATTATAGGTACCATTGCCTACCCCCTCGCGGGTTAGGGGACTAGAAAAGGTGTACTAAGACTTGGGAAAACGCATCGCCTGAAAGCTGGCCATGAATTGTGGGCGCTAAATACACTGTCCGAAAGGCTATTAAACAACGATCACGCGCGTCCCCATCCCCATGCTTCCCACAGGCTGGCATTGCCAACTCTGGCAGTCTGGAATGTTCATTTCCCTTTTCAGACAGCCCAACAGACAGGAGTGGAGGACGGCTCTGATTCTCCGGGCATTACCGTTGCAGTGTTCACGTTGCGGCTCTCAGGGAGTCACGCTTCTCTGTGCAAGGCCGAGCGAACGAGGTCGGTGCCGGATACACCTTTTTCCGGAGCGGATGTCCAAGGGCAGATTGACGAGAAGCCCTAATCACTTTCGTCATCAGGAATGATTCCGCGAGACGGCTGGCCCGCTTGTCACAGGGTGTCAATGACCGTCTCATGGCCATAAGGCTGCTACTCTGAAGGAACAAATCCGTCAACATTGTCAGCGCCTATGCCGCCTCAATGATCGACCCCGATGATGTGAAGAACAAGTTCTAGGAAGACCTGCGTGCCCTCCTGGCAGCTGCCGAGGTCGAACAAACTGGTTGTGCCTAGTGGCTTCAGTGCCCGCGTTGTTACGGACCATGCTGTTTGGGAGGGAGTGTTTGGTAATCGTTGAGTCGGCAGCTGTAACAGCACTGCCTTCCCCTCCTGTGGGCCTGCACAGGAGACAATTTTCTCCTGGCTGGCACATTATCCCATCTTCCGATTCGCCAGATGGTGTGCATGCACTCTCGCTCGTGTCCTTGACATCCGCTGGACTGCGTCCTAGTTCGAGGGCGTAGCCAGCGTGGCGTGCTCTTGACAAAGGTAATGAGCGATGCGGACGATTGGACGGATTACTCCCTTGTTATTTTCAAAATGAGGTCACAATTTTAACCGCGCAGGCGACCGCAAGTGCAGTTTGCACCACGTACTTGAAACGCCTGAGAGTCAATTGAATCTTAATAGCTGCATAAACTCCAAAATGGAAGAAATGTAAACTCGGTAGGCCTATAACAGTGTCAAAAGACAATGTGGATTACGAAAACATCATGGAATCTCAGACATGATACTCACGACCCGCCAACTACAGGAACTCCTGGGAAATGAGAATCAACGTCTACATTTACATCGTCGACCTGTCAAAGGCCTTCCGCACAGTGAAACGCAATCTAATCTGGGAAATCCGTGAAAAATTCGGATGTTCTGAGCGATTTTCTCAAACGAAAAAACAACTTCGCCACTGGAGGATGACTCTCGGCACGCACAACGGGCAATCTCTGAAGCATTGCGGATGACCAATGGGATGACAAGGCTGTGTACTGCTCCCATTATATTCAGTCTCATATTCTCTGCTGTGCTGATGGATGCCTACCGCGAGCGGGACCTGGGATCGAAATTAGCTATCGAGCCGACGGAAAACTACTCGGCATCTACCGCACACAAGCACCTTCGAAAATACCGAAGGCCGGCGTTCACGACCTATTATTTACAGATGACTGCGCACAAAACCACAACAAAGAGAACATGCAGCAGAATGCTGACCTCTTCGCCTCCGGCTGCTCTAACTTCGGCCTGATCTTTAGGAAGAAGACAGTGTTCATGTACCAACCTGAGCCAAATGTTGACTACGTCGGACCCAGTATCACCCGTCACACATGCATCATCCGCTGGCGATGTCGCGGAACGTTCGGATATCAGCCATATGCGTATCCATGACAGCGTAATTCACCACAACGGCATATGACAAACCTACCTCCTACACCTGAAAACTCCTATACCACCAGCAATACCAACTCCATTACCATCTGCGTCACCACCGCTAATAGCATCACCACAACGCCAGCTCACTAGACACTGTCCTAGCCCGCCCTCTCTGCCACCCATACCTTCATTAGGCATTGGCTCGGTCCAGCATTTGCGAATCCATTGCATTGGGACTGGCGTACCAGTTTCAGAAGCCCAACATACGCCCGTCACATCTGCTTCACCTTCATACACTGCCCAAAGATATTTTATCATTACATGGGCTTAGTCGGCCATACGCGGCTTCAGGGAAACCTGTGGTAAAACACCTCAACCTTACCCCACCACCACATCTCGCCTCACAAGCCCATGCACCACACACAAACATCCCCTCACAACATCTGACACACGCGGACAAAACATGCATCGCCCACACCAACGGGACGCATGCTTTTCGGCACAACCTCATGCCTGACCGGGTTGTGCGACTAATGCAGCTGTCAGCCACTGCGTCTAACCCCAGCGCCTGATCGGTTCGGACAGTGGACTGGTACAGGGGGAGAAATCGAGGTCGACACCAGGGAAACCATCCCACGGCACATCAGCGCACTCTTCATCATAATAAACCGGACGTACCTTGGAATTACCACCACGCGCTAACAGTCGCGGCCTGGGGGGCGGGCAGTTGAGTGTACAAGTCGATCGTCGCCGCCAATGTTGTTTGTATAGTGACTGGTTCGATGATTGGGAGTTGGACGTGCATAACGGCTCCTTCCTAATCGGGTCGTTATGGCACGCACTAACGTCCGACCCGAGCCCCCTTCTGTGAAAACCTAGCACATTTTGCGGTGAACACGTCGTGTGTGGCACACGCAAATGGGGTGCCGAGCTGTCAGCCACTACGTCCAAAGCCACCCTCGGCCGTAAAGACATTGTCTTGCCACCGGGGCCTGATGGGCGAGGGAAGAGTGCGGTAGCTGCCGAGCAAGTCCCTCCCACTAGAAACTGATTCACGCACAAGTCCCCAGTGTTGTACCCACTCCGTGGGGCACACGATGGAAGTCGCTGCTCACAACGGCCGAACCGTTATTTGAAAATGTGCTAATGTCCCGTAATAATATTACCATTAAACAAGTGCTCAATAACGACACCATAAGGCACGGTTAATACGTGAGTGCAGCTCAAACTTGGGAACCCAGGGCACTTAATCCTAGTGGCCACCTGTGGATGCAAAACTGCTGACATCCAAATGTTACCCGAACGTAACAGGAGGCCCTTTGGAATGTCAAAAACCAGCCAAATACAGCAGGAAATAAGTCCTTGTGGTCATTTCGTAAATGACGTCAAAAGACCTGGGATAAGGCATCATATCGCACATAGCGAAGCTTGACAGGATTTAATGATCTAAAAAGGACAATCAGCGGTTTTCACAGACTTTGGGTAACACATCACTTGTTATGTATTCAAAA